GGGGGTTTTAGAAGGGAAACATGCACGTTTTCTATTCTATCACTACAACCTAAGTATACTGTCTCTTCAGACTGATTATTGTATCAGTTAATGTTACAAAGGTTTATTTTCTTATTCAGATCAGGAAGATGAGGAAACACAAGCGCTTTTTGCTGAGTCATTCCACAATTAATGCCAGTCACATTAAAAACAGAAGTAACTCAATAAACTGGTACTTCAAGGATTGCAGAATCGATAATACTGTATGTTGTGTAACCCCTGTGCACGCTCAAACGACACGAGTGCTCTGTGCTTCCCACAAATAGATTCTGACTCAATAATTCCAGTCGATCCTCTACTTTGTGATACAGAGAGTTCACACTTCTCACAGAATCGGAATCAGATGGGGTTGCTCAAGGGGTGGGGTAGAAAACAGCATAGAGAGAACTTCGAATCAGCATCTGTTGGATGTATTCAGGTCATAATTTTTCTGGTTAATTTTCATTCAGGCTTTTATAACATTACTGAAATATTTCCATTTGTTTTCTTACTGGTCTTCTGTTTTGTTTTCTATACAATTTGCACACACAGTGAATAAAAGCAAATTAGGAAGCCATGTACAGCTATAGATAGTCCACATGATATAACTGCATTATTTTTGTATGAAATTTCTTCCATGTTGGATGCAAAATGAGTGCCCAAAATGTGTGCACTTGTGTGCATACATGTGGCTGTTCACGAACAAGTCTCACGTTATGGATGAACTCGAACCCCATGATCATAGCCTGCATCTGCTGATAGTAGTCTATGTTTTGTTGTGCAGCCTTGTAATCTGCGAGTTGTGGTTAGAGTGGTTAGAGCTCACAGGGGATCTTCAGAGCAGACGTGACCAGTATAAAAGATATAGCTTCTTGGACCGAAAAATTAAGCAAATGAAAAAGTGCCCTAAAGCTCTATTCTGTCTGAAGGCAATAGACTTTAGGCACCGTAGATTCTTTCTGTCTTGACTTAAATAAACACTCTCTTGATGAGTTTATGTCCTCAGTTGCTCCTTTTGGGTCAATAAAAGTGAGGATAGTCGGGCAGTAAATTAAACTTGAACGGGGTCATTCTCACAGATGTGGCAAAAAATGAATGAATAAATGCATGATTGCTAAATGCTAAAACGAGTCACCAGATATACTTGGATGACTGTTTATAAACCAGGTTAAATCTACACATGGAGAAACACTCACTTACCCCGAATGGCCCCTGCAAAAGAGGCTGGAAGACCCCATTGAAAGAGCATCGGCTGTATTTGCAGGAAGTAAAGTTAAATACACTTTTGACAACTTCTTGGCATTCTTGGAAGTTTCCTTTCCCAATGTGATAAAATTTTTCTGGAACTTTCTGAGGTTTCCTGCCTGACACACAGGGGCTGTCATAAAGGACGGAGTAGTTCTTTGTCTCATTGTAGCCTGAGTGGAAACAAGGATCCAATACTGTTGTTGCACCTGACTAGGAGAGAGAGTGAGATAGTGAGGTGCAACAGATGGAGAACAATGAAGCCTAAGTACTTTTGCACATTTAAGAACATTATGGCTCTCTAAGACAACATCCCATATTTGATTAGTTTGAACAGTTCATTCACAAAACACAGGAACCAAGGTCAGAAGTTTACCTGAGTGTGATTTGCCACCACCATTTTTAACGCTTGGTCTTTTCCGTAGCACAGGAAGCTGTGAGTATACAGGTTATAATCATTTCCATAGAGTCGGAAGTTGACAGAGTTGATGGGTGACTCTGAGCCGTCAAAATTATCGGATATAAAGCTAATTTGAGTAGACGCCCCGCCAAGGTCAAGAGCGCCTGTTGTTTTCAAGCCCTGCAAAAGAGGTAAAATAACACTCGGTCAGTGCAGAACCGGGAGTACTGGCACACACAAAGTACGTCTCAGTGTGGACTAATGTGCACGGACCTGTATGTTGATGTGCACAAACTGACCTGTTTGAGACGATCATCCAAGTAGTTGACTGTGACCCACCCAAAGGCACCCTCTTCCTGCCCACTGAGGATTCTTGCTCCCTGATAGGAGAAGGGGGAGTTTCGCAGGGCTTTCTCCACAGCCTGAAATACGTTCCTTGATGCTGAGCTATTCACAATACTGCAGGAACACATGGCACAAATGTATGTGTGAGTCACGTCCACAAGTCAGATCAATACAGCAGCCCATAAATAATATATACATTGTATTGTGCATAATGGCTTTGACAGTAACCTATTCACTGTCCTGGCAGTTCTTGTGGAGATAAATGACAGGATGTGCAAATGCAAATGGTTACAAAAAATAGCACTATTTGCACTGCCAATGCAAACACAGTTTCAGATTTTAGACAGGGGATAAGCTAAGCAGTGTCAGCATGAAAAGCTGTTCACTGTGGGTGTTTTTAAAAAAACATTCTTTTCTAGGTTTTATCATGAAAATGTCTAAGCTTGTGCGACATACTCCAGCAGCCTCATTCCTGCTGTGGCTCCCAGATAGAGTGGGGTCTCATGAGCTCTTTCTTTGGGGACAGTCTCCTCAGCCTCGCCCATGCACTCTTTCAGAGACTCTCCTGCTTTCCATGGTTCAGACGCATAGCTGGAAATACCTTTACCTGTTAGAACAAAAAGTCAGGAGGGTCACTGGGCAGAAATTTAGTAACAATAAAGCACAGCGAGAGCCTTGTCTTTACAGCTACCCTTCTTGAAAATTCACTCATTTTTAAAATTTCAGGAACTGTTCTGTATTTCAGAAGGTGACGGGCCAGGTAAAGATGTTATTGAGGTTAAATGAACTTATAGAATAAATTGCCTAATACTAGGCAAAGATGCAGCCAGGAGTGCCTTACTAGTTTCAGTTCAAAGTATAACACAGTTATGGGTATTTACATGTATATCGTGTATCTAATTAATAGCGTTATTGGTAATAAATGACTTTTTTGTAACCGTTTTGACAACAGTTTAATTAAATTATATATACCATGCTTAAATTTTTAATTATTCTGTGTTTATTTGGTACGATACAGTATCTATATTTGACTTAAAGTCAGGAAGCTGTAGGGAAACACCCAGTTTGGTGGTCTCTAAATGTCCGTGGGTACTTTTAAGGCTTACCAATAAACATACAATAGCTCCTTTGTTTAGTCCACATAAAAACAAAAATGCCATTCTGCAGTTTTGCAGGTGCCAGACATGCCTTTTTTGCCTGTGCATTGACTTCCTACAGTCTTGTCATCACCATGAGATTGTGTTGGTAATAAGCTATTGTTTTTCATTTGTCTGTCATTGCTTTTACAAAATAACTACGTCTAGATTCTCTGGAACCAAAACAAAAACACAGATAAAGATTTTTCAGAAAACAAAGAGTACAGTTACTAATTAGGAATACATGTGTAATTGTGTTTATTCTGTTAAAATGATTAATTGGCTTACTGAATACATAGCTACCACAGTATTATCAACATACAACAAAACATTAAGCCAAAAACACATCTAGCTCTGTGTATAGCAGTATATTCTTTTGCTCTAGCATAACTTGCTATTTTAAGCTTT